ACGGAGTGAGACCCAAGATGGAGGAGAGAAGGGCAACTCAAGGCCCCGTGGGTAAGGGCATTAACCTGTGGCCTGTTAAATCCCTGCTCAATCCTCACGCTGCAGGTTGTGCCTGTGCCCATTAACAGCTCAGCCTGGATCTATTCACAGCCAATAGCAAGCGCTGCAAAGAGTAGAATAAAAATCCACCACACTGTCAAACTGATTCACTGGAGGTTGAAGAGGTATATCTTTTAGATGCAGGCCAACGAACACCTCATTGGTTTTGAGTAATGAATTGTTTCTCGGCAGATAAGAAAGGAACTGGCACACATTCGGCTTCAAACCCCCCCAGATACTGACGCGCAGCTTTGACTCAACATCCTTTCGTGTGTTGATCTGTGTGTGTGTGTGATCTGATGCACTGAGTCCACCTTGCCGTCCCGTTCTGATGACATCATCAGTTTGGTTGTCTTTGTTTGCTTTTCCTCACTAACGAGAATCTCTCCTGTTTTTGTGTTTTTCTCTTTTTCTCTGTGTTTTTCTTCTCTTCCATGTGTCTCTGGGGTGATGCTGGATTCTGATTGGGGGTGGGGCACGACTCGTGACGCTGTCCTCACGCTCGATTGGACGGCCATAATACTGTTGCTCCCCACCAACCAATGGCTGCTTTCAAATGGCCGCCCTCCCCCCTCCTCAAACTATGATTTGAATCTATTAACTATTTGTTTCTCCCAATATGTGTTACAAATAATGAACTCAAACCGGTCCTATTTGAAATACGTTGCCGCTGTGGTTTTGTTTTGTTTTTCCTCTCCCAATCTCCCCAAATGTTCCCTCTCTTGTTTCTGTCCGTGTGCTTCCCCCTTTTTCTTCTTTCAGAGCCCTCAATGAAGCGATTGAAAACTGGTTTGGTGGCGTACACCGGCGACTCCTCCGACGAAGAGGAAGACCACTCTGCCTCCAAAGCCTCGGGGCCAGGTAACCCTGGGGCGGCTCCCCCCACCTCCAGCTCCTCGCGCTGGACACAGGGCTATCGCTGCCCTCCTCCACTCCCCTCTCGCGCTAAAGCGCAGCCACAGGCGCAGCCCATGCCCTTCTGGATGGCACCGTAAAGCAGGGGGGAGGAAAAAGAAATCCAAACTCTCCCCTCGGTGCTGTGAGATGTCAAACTGAGCCTGCGTTTCTTTTCTCCCATCACTCATCACATGGACGACTCTTAACAGCTACGTGTTGATTGCAGCATAATCTCAGTGCTTTGGTCCAAAAAGACATGCTAACGTTTTGGAAAACTACCTTTCGTGTTTCTTTTGGTGCACACGTTGTAGTTTTGAGGGTGAACATTTGCAGGACTGACACTCAAGCTATTTTGTGGATGTTTAAATGGTCAAATGAGCAACATTCTGCCTCTAGTTTTATTTGGAACGGTTTGAAAACAAATGCCAGGTGAAGTGTTTGAATATTGTGTTGTTGTAAAAACAATATCACCAGACAGTGATCACTGACCACTTTTTGATTAAACCCCAAGTACAGCTTTTGTCCCCTTTCCTATTGTTATCTTTTTGTACAGATCATCTCCCATTAATATGTAGCTAACCTACTGGATTTATTCATGCTTTTATGAATTAAATAAATTTAATTTATTGAAGTGTTTGAGCTTGTGATTCTTCCTATATTTTACCCTTTTTAAGTCTGTTTCATCACAAACAAGTCGGTCACATATGCTAATTAGCGTTAACAGCTCTGCGTGCCAAACAGCAGAGTGGATTCAGGGACCCTGTGCAGAATTCATGACTTAAACATTCAAAACTTTTGAAGAACGTGATGCCTGTAAAAGTTTTGCTTTAGATCGTTTAAGTTTAATTTCAAGCGGTAACACTTTGCATTCTTAATCAGAGAGCCTTCATCTCTTCAACAAACTGTAGCACTTAAATTGTACTTCTAATGGCTCTTATCTATAGCAAATTGTACATTGGCTTGTTTCTTGCTCTGAGTTTGTTCCTTATGGTTGAATGCACTTATTGTAAGTCACTTTGGATAAAAGTGTCAGCTAAATGACATGTAATGTAGTGGTATAATTTCAGTACAGCGACTGTTGGGGGGTCGCCGTGGCGCGCTGGGAACCACAAGGTTGGTGGTTTGAGTCCTGGCTGCCCCATGTCCCATGTTGAAGTGTCCCTGAGCAAGACACCTAACCCCTAATTGCTCCTACCGGGTACAAGCCCAGGGGCCCAGAGTGTCACGGGGGCTGCTACCATTATGAAAAGTGGTACACAAAGAGATACAAAACAACTACTAAGACGCACAAAAGTAATATAGAAAAGGGGAAAACCTCTTTAAAGTGTGTGTGTGTCTTGCTCTGATGTAGCCTGTTTAATGTCTCTCATAAACTGTCCATGCTGTCTTGTGAGGGGTAAATGCATCATGCAGTTCCTCACCCTCCCTGCAGGGAGCGCACTGGCCAGAGCTCTCATGTTTGTAGAACTCGACGGCTCTGATCAGTCTGGAGGAAAAAATATTAATCTCCTTCAAAACTAAAAAAAAGCTGCAGTGTATTTTCACATCTTTCAGGGATCTGAAGTATGATGGCAGCTGTTCCCAGCGTAGTCTCTGCATGGACCAGGTCGTCAAAATCCATCAAAACATTGTCGCACACGTGCTGAGGGATGATGGGAGTGAACGACCCCCCTGGGATCACTCCCAACAGACTGTCCCAGCCGTCCCTCACTCCTCCTACACCAATCACACAAGAGGAGAGAGGAAGTCATAAAGTCAACCAGCATCAACACAGCAGTGGACTGTAAACACACACACGCACGCACACACCTGCGTGTCTCTCTATTAGCTCCCGCAGAGGATTAGACATCTCTTCCACCACCGTGCAAACCAAGTGCCGCCTCGACGACAGATCGCAGGCGCCATGGCAACCGTCTCCACATTGGAGTCGGTCGTTGGGCATCCAAACACACCTTGAGGTAGAGAGAGAGAGAGAGAGAGAGTGGTGATTACAACACAACCCTCATGTTGAAGTTTCTTATAAACCACAAGTGACCCCAGTAGGAAACCTGATGTGCGAGTGCTTTACCTACGTCAGCAGGAAACGGCGGCTAGAGTCTGGGTTTTCCTTGTTTGCCCTCAAGAGATTCGATGAGGGCTGTGTCCTCCTCGCAGACGTAGCCCCCCTGCATTACAAACACGTCAACACACAGCATGAAGCACACCACACCTACGGATCGACAAGTCACCCGTTGGGGCCTTTTGCGTGTACCTGTAGTGTGGAGGACTCGTTGTGAAACTCTCATCTGATGTAGATGTAAGCAGCACGAGCTGCTCGTGGCGATCCGGCAGCCGTCTATTAACTTAAGAGGGTCGTGACGCAATATGTCGCGGTCTACAATGTTCCAGGTTCCCTCTTGTCAGCGTTCACCACCAGGTCTAAGGACACAAGAAAGTAAGGAAACACTCAATACACCGACAGGTTACACCGCCAGAAAGCTAATGAAAGACAGGTGTAACTGGTCACAATAGTTGCATAAAAATAAGAGATGGAATCGCATAAGGACTGAAACGTAAAGTTGATACAAATCGGAGCAATTTTAAAATCACCACTGAACGTTCAAACAAATAAACTGTGTGTGACACGTCACAAAACCAAATTAAAACAGAAAATGACATTGAAGTAATTAGCCCGTTGGGTCTCACGCGACATCTTGAAAACACTTTTTGCAAAATAAATACATTTTTACGTAACATGAAATTGGTATATTTAAAATACGACAACATGCAACACACTTTTAAACTTTTGATTAAATACAGCCTAACCCTTTAATACTTTAGTTATCAAACACCATCAAAAATGAAAACTATTGTCATAAACGGAACTATGCATAAGGCTTATGCCTGTACCATCTTCATATAGAACAGTCTGAAAAGCCCCAAAAACAATTGTCCCAAAACAGTTCATCAAAGAATGTCATATTGTTTATCTCTGTTGAGGAATCTCCTTATTTTAGGAACCTGCTGCACGTAAAAACAACTTGTACTTGAAGCTAAAGAAGCAGGCGGCGTGATGGGCCTGCTACCTGCGCCTGGGCTGCACTGCTGTGGGTGAGACGCGCAGTGAGATGAAGAGCCAGAGCGGCCCGCAGCATCCCGCCGGAGACGCGCACCTCCAGCCCGCTTCCAAGCCCGTTCACACTCCGGAGCCGTCGCCGTTGGGCTTCTTGTGGAATCTAATCGATTTTCGAAACAGAGCTTCAGTGTGGGCCTGCTGGGTCGGATTAATTAGAAGCTGAGAGGATTAACCAACAAGACCACGTCACATCCTATCCCAGCTTCCCGTGAGACTCCCCAAAATGCACCCGACCCATCACAGGTCACCAATAGACTGACTGTGTGAATGATTCACTGGCTTATAAATGGATTGTAACCACTAATTCTATCAAAGGCCCAAAAACTAGTCATTGATTAACTGATTTGGCGCAGGCATTTTCACTCTTCATAAGGGAAAAGCACAGGTTTTGTTAATAACTTTAATGATGGTTCTGTTTCATTCAAGTGACCCCAAGTGGGCCACATTTACAGTTCAATGAAGCCGCCATGATGAGTTATTAGCATTACGACATGGTCAGATTCTTCCCGCTTGTATACAAAAACATATGGAGCCGTTATACACTTATAAATAGTGCGTGAGTCCCAATATCCACACGATTTAGTATGCCAGAAAAACGGCATCAAAGACTGCATGATTTTGTGGCACTTCTGACGCAGTCATTTGTGCAGCGGATTTCTCAGTTGCCACATGTTGTACACTGAGAAGCTGCAGGATGCGCCAAGAGTGTGTCCACGATTAGGTTTGGTAAAGTTTATTTGAAAGAACATCAGATTTAAAGAGTCATATTATATAAACTTGACTGTTAATGTGAAATGTCCAACTCTACATGTTAACTTAATTACCAAAAGTTTACAGAACCCCTTGAAAAGTTGTTTTTGTAATGCAAACCAATAACACACATTGAAAATATCAAGCTTAGATATGTTTATTTATTTTCTTTACATTAACTGAAAACAAATGATGTGAAAATGAATTCATATCTCTGAGAAGGTTCCACTAAAAACGGAAAGACAATTATGTATCCCTGAAAGTGGGGTCTCTACGCAGACTGGACCCCGCACCCCGTCACCAAAGCCAAGAAAACAAACCGCTCACATAGAAACACAAACTTCACAGCTGGCATCCGCTAACCCTCATTCATCCACAAAGCTCCGACCAGGAGCACAAACGCCCTTCATGAGCGAGAAGAGCGAGCGTCACACTGCCAATCCAGCAGGACTGGTTCCAGTAAGACCAGTAGTTTAAGGACAGGCCCATTATTTCCCTAGATAGGGTTAATTCATTTGGTTCTCAACGGTTAAACCGTATCAGATCTAAAAAAATCGCTAATTTTTCATTCATGTGCAAATACAAGAATCACAGAAACTTTGAGACATATTTCAACTTAGTTATAACTTTGTTTTTCATATTTGAACATTTTCATATTATTGATGTAATTTTTACTATTTTACCTAGTTTATTGTCAAAGTCAAATTTCTTGGATGTGCAAACACTATATATTAATATATAAACCATTTCCAATTCAGATATTTAAACTACCGGCCTTACTCTCGCATGAAGAGCGCCAATCACCCGACAGCACCAAACACTTGCTTCCCGTTTACATTTTTTGTATAAATCACTTAGTGCATTGCTCAAGATTTCCTGAGAGTAGTTGCAGCACACACAAAAAAGAAAGTCTAAGGCAACTTCATCCCAATATATATTATATTGACTAATAATTCTGTACTATTATGCAGGAGGAAGAGTATTCAATGTATGCAGGTTTTAAGAAGAATCTCTATCACAATCTTAAACGTTATCGAGTGAGTTAATGGATTAGATATGGAAGGTCAGAGGTCAGACAAAATGGCTCGGAGCTCTCAAATCTCATCGTGCAATCAAACTACAAATAAAAAATAAAAAAGAAGATACACAACAAGAAGCACACAAGGCCAGACCAGCGTGACTGCTCGAGCACGTCCTGACTGCATGGGTTTCAAACGAATGGGGAATTAAAAGACAACTGCCGTTGTTTAAAGCCGTTGATGATTGCATCACGCCCTGCGAAAGGCCTTCACGTACTGGTCTTGGGAAAGCACGACGAAACTAAAACGAGTTTTTGGTCAAAGATAGATTTACCTCAAAAGGATGATGGCCCCGTTAGACACGGCGGTGGCCGCTCTATGAGAACTGCCACGTTAACATGCGATACAGTACTAAACATGTTAAATTAACAAAAGAAAAGCGCACCGAAAATGTGTGTTCCAGTTACATCAAAAGGTTATAAACCCTCAGACTTTTTCCTTGCTCAATTCCCTTCTCTTTACCCCGGATGGAATGTGCCTTTATTATTGCAGTACCTGACAGCGTTTAATGTGCAAAGAATGCATTCGAGGAAGAATCGGCAAAAGACGACAAGAGGCCCATAAAAAAGGCGGTAAGTTACGGGGAGATGTGGAGTCAGAACCTTTAGCGCAATGCAGTTTTTTTTATTAAGATCTGTCTCCCCTCCTTGGATTTGGTCTCACGAAAGAGTTTCAGCAGAAGAACCATAATAAATAACAATAAATAAATAAGTACAGAAAAGGGAGGGGTGGCATCTCATTCAGCCCCTCACCTTTTTGCCCCTTTTTCTATTTTTCTTTCTTTTCAAACAAGAAACCGAATGAGCGCATTGGAAGACTGACATCCACAGCCTTTGGTGAAAAGAATAAATTGTCCTCAACACAATCAACAACTCATTGACCCGGACTTTGTCACTTTTGGTCAGGCGTTTAACACAGAGGCTCAGAAACACTCACACATGGAAGCAGACTCTTTCTCATGGCTATCAAAACCGTCGGGAAGAATCTCCTATTCAAACCAAACATTGGCTACCAGTCGCCTCTCTTTTCTCCTGTGAACTTAACCTTAAGAAAACAGTTCAACTAAAATTCTTTGGTTCAAGCACCAAATCAAAGCAGAGATTTACCACTAAGAAGAAAAGACACAACGAACATTATTGCTTTGAACGCACAGAATGAGTTTGACTACACTGCGTTTCCACCGATAACCACCAGAGGGCAGCAGGCGCGCAAACTCACTGTTGGGATCTAAGTTATACGACTTCTGAATTGCACCTGAATCAATACATTTATGTTGTAACTACAATCTGACATCTTCAAAAATCCCCTGCATGATGCAGGTCTAAATTTTAGTTTGCATAGTGAAAAGCATCCCAGTTACCGCACACGCCCAACCAGCTAGAAAAAAAATCAAACCAAACAGCTCAAAACTGAAATACATCAAATGAGACAACAAACGAGAAAACAAATCTAAAAGGACAGAATCAAATAAAAACGCAAAGAGCCACAAGACAAACATTTAAAATATCTAAGAAAACCCGTTTTCCATTTTTTTCCTTTTAATATCATTTAGCTGTATTTATTTTTGTAAGCGCTCTATGTGGGAGCAGCAGGTCCTCGGTCCCGCCACCTGAGTGAGATGTTTTTTTACTGTGGACTCTCAAAACACACACACACACACACACACACGCTCACACACACACACACACACACACATTTTCTATTCCTCTTCTTCCACTCCAATTTCTTCTTCCCCTTCCTCAGCCCATCGGTCACGCTGCGCGGCTCCGCCTGGATCTTCTCCGTCCTCCTCCCGGCCGCCCCGCAGCTCCAGATCTCGCAGGAAGAGCTCGGGGTAGCCGGCCAGCCTGTGAGGCCCGAGCTGGGCCAAGGCCTGCAGGGCGAAGGATCGCTCCCTCTCCAGGTCGCCCGAAAACATAAGCCGGGGGCCGACGCGTGATCCACTCCCCACGTCCAGCGCCGCGTGAGGGAAGAACGCAGAGGAGTGCGCCTGTAAGGACGAGGCCTCCAGAGGGTCGGGCTGCTCCCTCCCGCTTTCGTCGCCTCGCTCGTCCTCCCCGAGCTCGGCCCCCCGCCTGGGGCGGCGCGTGCGCAGCTCCAGGCAGCTGTGTCCCTTGCGGTGGCGCTGGAGGTGGTCCTCTCGGGCGAAGGCCTTGTGGCAGAGCGGGCACTCGAAGGGCCTCGCCCCGCTGTGGAGGGACAGGTGGTTCTTCAGGTCGTACGAGTGGAGGAACCGAGCGGGGCAGTGGGGGCAGGGGTAAGGACGCTCGCCTGTGTGTTTCCTCATGTGGATCTTCAACTTGTCATTCCTAATGGTGGGGGAAAGGGGAGAGAGGGGGGGGTGGAGGAGGGAGGAAAAGTGATTAATAAGACAAAAATACGTCACACGGTTTTCTTTGCGCATGTTAAACGTGAGAGGCTTCTGTACCGCGTGAAACGAACTCCACAGGCAGAGCACTGGAAGGGCTTCTCCCCGGTGTGCGTCCTCATGTGTCGGGGCAGTTTTCCCGCTCCGTGGATGATCTTCTGACAGACGGGGCACTGCTGGGGCGTCTGGGACTTCCTCTTCCTCCCGCCTCCTGCCGCCGAGGCCGCGGCTCCTCCTTCGTCGGCCGCAGAGGGTACCGGGGGGCTCTCCATCAGCGCGCCGTCGTCCACGAAACCCTCCGTGTCCTCGTCCTCCGACAGCTTGTCGATCGAGGGCGGGGCCGCGGGCGGGCGGGGGGCGCCGCGGGGGCGCTCGTGCAGCCAGTGGAGGAGCCCCCCGTTTAGCTTGGCCCTTTTCCCCGGCTTCCTGACCCCCCTGGGGTCTCCGTTCTGATGGGGTGTGACGCGGAGCTCCTCCTGCTCGGGGCTGGGAGGCCGGGTGGGCGGCAGGGAGCGCAGGCTCTCGGGTGAAGGGGGAGGGTGCGAGGCGGGAGAAGCAGGCGGCGGGTTGAAAACCGAGGGGTCGACGTGATGCGAGGAGACTTTCCTCATCTTCTTTTTGTCCATCTTCCTTCGGGAGCCCCTCTCGGCCACCCTCTCTCCCCCCACCGCCGTCCGCTCGGTGGCTGCGTTGTGGCCCCGCTGCTCTTCGGCCGTCTCCCCCGTCTCCCCCAGGATGTCCTTGCACGCGTCGGCCACACACTTGATGCCCAGAAGCTGCGCCCCTCGCAGCACGTCTCTCATCGCGGAGCTGGGGATGGTCAGAGTGGCGGTGTAGGCAAACTCCAGCAGGGCTTTCAGCGCGGCGGGCGCCACGCAGTCCAGCTGGCACACGCTGAAGCCTCCGCCGCCCTCGCAGCCGCCCTCCTCCCCCGCGAACAGCCCGCGGAAGTAGACGCTGACGGCGGCCATGACGGAGCGGTGAGTCAGGTAGTGCTGCCCGCGGGACGTCAGGGTGAGGTCGCAGAGGAGGCCCGTCCGCCTCTGGTCATTTAGGTGGGACAAGAGCTCATTGCTGTGCTCCGGGAAGGGGATCCCAATCAGACCGTCCTCTCCTGGAGACATTGCCACCTGCGGGAAAGAAAAAAAAGGAGGCGCGGGTGAGTGGAGGGAATGAGGCGTGAGATTTGTGCCGTTCACAATCAGCGTTTAAAAAAATCATCTTTTTCAATTAATTCCATCAGCCACACAAATCTGCCTTTGCGGTTTCTAACATTTAAAGATTCTTCTTCTAACCGAGTAAATCGTTGTTCTTTCACGTGAGGGACAATCTCAACCGGGCTTAGCAACAATTTCCCCCCCTCGTACTTTCTCTCCAGAGTACTAAATCAGGCGGTGCCTGTGAGATGGGGGTTGGGGCACCGGAAGACAAATGCGATAAGACGACGGAGACAGCAGAAGCGGCAAAATATAACAGCATGACGGAATAATCAATCATTTGAACAGAGAGGGGGGGAGAGAGAGAAGCTAAAAACAAATGATCAATATCAATGACGTGGAGAGGATGCAGCATTATGCAATGCACGGCCGGTGCTGTGGCCAAAAGGCAGCCGGTGAATTCCTGTGTAAAACCTTTGTGGCATTTGCTGTTTGATTAGAATACCTGGAGAAGACCGAGAGGGACAAATGGAGGAGAGAGAGAAGAAAGGAAACTCAGTTGAGTTATTGGGGAGGAAGTTACAGCGACTGTGGGGGGAACGAAGAGAACCAGTGAAAGAATGAGGAAGGAAGAAAAGGCAAGATAATAACTAGAAATCATCAGGACGACTTAAGTAAAAGTGCGTCATTTACAAACGGGAAGCGCCGCATAGAACTCATTCATTTCAATCACTCGTCTTTTTACAACTGGAACATTTGTCGACGTGGAGGTATGACGGTTGGCTTGAAAGTGAAATAGGTCGGTAATGAGACCCAACAACTCCCTTCGTTGACTCCCTAAGCTCCCGCTTCACCCTGTCCACACTGTACTTGCTCAACAATATCCCTCACACACACACCTGAGCAGACCAGATTTTCCACAAACAACTCACCCTCCAGACCCCCCCCCCCGCCCTTCATATCCCTCCCATAGAAACTGGAAGCCCCCTGGCCGTCCAATAACAGTGTTCACACAGTGCCCAGAGGGCTCTGCACAACGACGGTACATCCACCTGACTAACCTGCTCCAGAACACACCCTATTAAACACACACACACGCACGCAGTGGGCCGATCTGAGGCTCCCCCTCCCACTATTGTTGGATTTAACCTGTTCTGTGATGATCCTTAACGCCAGCCTTTTTTTTTTCAAACACATACTTGTGGTTATTCACTCCACCCCTTCATCTAATGAAATGATTACCACTCACCACTTCACCGACTTTTCCCACTGCGCACATATACGTCAAACCTCCAAAGAAGTACCCGAATGTTCAGCCTACCTTCTCCGTCTTCATGGGCATGGGGACAGTCAGCCGGAGACGAGGCATCGCGTGTCTCGCGGCATCCATCTTTCCGTGCTTTACAACTCTTCTCCGGTCTTCTAAACCCACTTCTTACCCCCCCCCTCTCTTTGTATTTCCTCCAATCCTTAGATGTTTCACTTAAAGAAAGAGCGATCTCTCAGTCAGAAGTCGGGTTATTGTGCCCATCCTTGGGGATGTCTACCTCTTTCGCACAGTGTGTCACTCAATCTCCTTCCGGTTGTATCAAAAAAAAAAAAAAAGGGTTCGCAGTGACGGAGGTAGATTCAGAGATACCCCTCCCACCCCAGGTCGCCTACGCGCCCGCGCCCCCCCTCCCTCTCCAAAACCCAACGGCCCATTTTCCGAAAACTTTCCGATAAACACGATCTCCTTGTCGAACGTCTCCCTGTGTAGAAGGGGCCCGACAGGTGGGGGAGTCTAACAAATAACCTTCAGGTATCGGACCAAACACGTAAAATAACCTGGTTCGGCAGGAAGGAAACAACCGCGTGCGACCCAGGCACCTCAGAAATACCAATTTTGAGTGTCAAAGTTGAACAATCATGTAAGAACCAAAATCATATTGCCATTATGAGTCATATTACCACCAGGAACCAACATTCAGGTTGGTACGATATGAGAGTTAAACCACACTGCTGTAGAAGCAATCAAATAAAACAATTCAAAAACACCCGTAGCAGATATTTACTGTTATTTGTGAGCCAAAGCAGTTTCATAGGAGTGAGGGAGTTAAGGGGCACGTGTTTGCTTGGTCTCTTGCACACAAACACACAACATCCCATTTACATCAACAGACATGTTAATAGATCAAATAGTTTTGCCAGGGAGGACCATCGCCTGTTTTCTGTCCTATATGACAATAAACTGAATATCTTTGGATTTGGGGTTGGACTAAACAAGATGGCTTAAGAAAATTGTGATTGCCGCTTTTTCAGTATTTCCTAAAATTGGATCGACAAATGTTGAACGTAGAAAATAACGTCTGGGTGAATTGTTTGTCGTCGCCCTGCATAATAAACAAATGCATAAAGACGTGCGGGTAAAAACATCCCATGACCTTGCATGCGTAGAGTCGGTCTCAGCGCAGGAAGAAGCGACAACAGACCCGCGTTTCTCATTCTCACGTCGCTTAAATGCATCCACAGGAAAACTGCAAATAATTGTCATGTGCAGAAATATACAATATGTCCTGTTTTGTTCCAATTTCCAAAATCCCTCATTGAGCAAAATGTCACTAATACACCAACCGCACAAATCTCAAGCAAAGTGGTGCAGACAAGCGAGACGTGAAGGGGTTTGAGGAAAGGCACACAGACATGTACGTTGAATTTCCGGCGCAGAGGACAAAAAAAAGAAAAGAAAAAGCATTAGGTTGATTGTTCGAGCTTGTTATTTTAGGCCTATTCCTTCGAACACAGGCGCGTTCGGAAATAATAACATTGTAGAGAAGTTACAATGATTCCCATCAGTTTTCTGTCTGCTAGTGAGTCACTTAACACGGAGACACACACACACACACACACACACACGTGCACGCACGCACACACACAGTTCAAAATAAACGACGTTGAGTTACAAGCCCATTCAACTAAGATCATGAACAATAATTACTGTTACGTTGCACATTTACGTTTATTCATGTTGATGTGAGATCCGTACCTGGAGTAAATAACGGTTTGCCTTTAGGTGTGTCACTTAAAGTCGTCTGTACGTACAACCACAAAAAAGCACAAAAGAGATTTTCATCTCATGTAAATCTGCCATTCTATCACTTTTTATGCATTTAACACTACAGATGTTGAGCTATTATCTTTTCAACTTTCAGCTCTTTCCTCTTTGTTTCTTGATCTCACCTCCTACTCTTCTCATCGAGAGTGGAGGACTTCACCTCCTCTGCAACTCTACGGTTTCCTCATCCCTCGCTTTCATTATGTGCACACTCTTCCTCTCTTAACAACAAGGAGTATTCGTAACTCGATTAAAAAAACAAACAAACACCAATATCATCTGGACACTTTCTATGATCCGACTGCCAGGACAAGTGTCCCAAACCGAAGCAAACAACGCAGTAGAGATAAAAAGACTTAACATGGAACATGTAGAGAATCCATCAAGGATGGGGGGGGTTTATACTTATGAGGAAATGGAAACATAAATCCACCATTACAGTCCACTTCCACCCCTCAGTGCAACTCGTTTGACACCAATATGGTCAGAGGCCAGGAAAATGACAGCAGCAGGATTGAACAAACCTGCACGCAGCGATTTATACTTCGGTATAAAAGCAGGTTGCAGTATGCGTCGCCTATATCATGAGATCCCTCTGCTCACACTGTGTTCTGTGACGACTGCAACCAGAACGGCTGGTGTTATTTTTAGGGCTCTTACTTTCCGTTAAAAAGTTGTGCGTTTTCCCAGTGCAGCTCAATTATAACAGACTCCAGCGCTAAAAGGGGGAAAATATGACTTTATACTATTAACAGAAAACTGTGGTTGAGAAGGAGAAATGCTTTATGAATTCTGATGTCAGATGTTTTCCAATGGGCCCGTTTGTGACTCTGTGTGTGTGTGTGTGTGTGTGCGTGCACCGGTACGCTGGGTTGCATGTGTTGTGGCAGCTTTCTCAGTTCTCACAGTACTTAAACAAGAGTTTAACAACGTGAAATCATTAAGTGAAAGGTAAGCGTCAAATACTAATGCAGATGTAATTAAATATAGCAACATTATTTTGTTTTTCGTCGAAAATGTTTGTTATAAGTAGCCTGAAAGGAGATACATCCCTGAACGTTAAGGGAGCTTAAATACATACTACAAAAAAAACTACAAATGAGGAGCAGTACGTTCTATACGGCAAATGCGAGGAAGCGTTTTCATAAATCTAAAATTCGGAGAGGTTATTCATAACCACAACATTACGACGCACAACTACCACAGTGAGAGAAAAACGAAAACGCGTTGAAACACACGGAAAGTAAGACACAAGCTCATACCGTATCTCCTCCACACAACCGCCTTCCTCTCCCCACTCGTCTTCTGTCTGACTGACGGATTTTAAGGGTTAAAACCCTTTTTACACGTCACTTCTTTGGGGTAGTGAGTGCGATGCTGGGACACCTTCTGTGAGGAAGAGGGGAGGAGGAAACGTGGGGGAAGAGGAGACGGGAGCACACACACGTCTGCTGAACCCAAGGGACCCAACTGAGCCCTCTCACGGGAATGTGTGGGGGGGGGGCAACGTTACACGCAACGCCGGAATAACGTCTGTGTCCTCTCATGAAACGTCTCTCGTCTCTGCCGGCAGATAAAACACCAGCTCCGCTGGTCGTGCGTCCCAACAGTCCCCTCTGAACTGGACATTTGCATTCCGTCGGGAGATATAAAAGCAGATGAAACCGGGGGGAGAATTTGAATCTGCATTTGAATTTGCCAAAGACCAGACTTGAGACGCCATCGCGATAAATACAGCGATCGCGCCCTGCCGCGACATAAAGACAAATGTAAAGATTAATTTAAAAAGAAGAAGATGTTCGGTGGGCTGATGATCCTCCGCAAAACTTCAGGCTTTTGTTCACGAAAGACCCTAAAACCAAGCCTCCCTCTGTCGTTACAGTAAGTGGGGCATTAGGATGTGCGCGTGTGCGGACGCATGCGCATGTCGTAGTCCAAGTTCCAAGTGCGCATTACATTATTCATATGGCTGGCAGAGCGGAGGCCCTCATCATCATTCGCCCTCACACACACGCACCACAAGCTCTCCACTGCGAGCTGCTGCAGCACCTGAGCACCAAAGTGAGGATTATCGGCCCGTCTGCACACATTAGGGTGCACAGGTACGCTTTGTCCCCCGTAAAAAAGTCACCCACGTGGGAGATGAGGTTTAAGTAGATAACAAGGAAACACATGGGGGCCATCAATCATCACGATTCTGTTAATGGTTGAATGGAATGAGTTTATTTAAATTTTGGGGCACAGATATTGGAGCTCTTATTAAAGATTGTTTCTCAATTGACAACTTCAACTAGACTTTAAGGGTTAAATGACAGCAGACAACAGTCATATTTTACTTGGATTAAGCCTTTGGAACCAGTAAACCAATCCCTATACGGTTCTGTGTCATATATATATATATATATATATATATATATATATATATATATATATATAATATATAAAATCATCCAGGTTTATGTGTAACCCTACAATTTCATTTTTTTTTTATAAAGATACTGAGAAAGACACATCTGTTAAGGATTATTCACCCACTTTTTATCTTTATAAAATATACATTTATCTTTAATTCTGAAGTGGATTTTTTGTAATTTGTGTAAAATACAGTAACACCTCTGCCTCGTTTTTATCACTGCGAAAGCATGAAAGCTAAATAAATAAATCTGAGGTTGGAAAGAGGAAAAGATTTGAGAAGAGACAACAAAAGGAAAATGAGGGAGGTATGTTTTCTAAAAACACACATGTTCTTAGAAATCACGCAAGAAAAAGGAGGTATGGGGGAGGACAAACACATGAGAGTGAGCGAACGGGGGCGTAGAGAGATATTCTAAGAGATAAAGCCTACAAGAGGGGAGGTTAAGACAGGAAAATCTAGTCCTGGCCTCGAACAATCTGTTTTAGCGAGGAGACATGAAACAAGAGGAGACAAGAGTTGAGTTACAAGGGGAGAGGAAGGGGGGAGACAAAAAAAAAAAAAAAAGAGAAGGGAGAAAAGCAGTGACACGACGACTGGGAGATGAAACACGTGCAAGCAGTCACAGGAAGTAGCAAGAGATCTCGCAGGTGTGTGTGCGCGTGCGTGCAGTGCAGATGTGCGAGGGAGGGATGTGGTGGAAGCCACCTCTGTCATTAGCATCGGCAAAAGCATAATCCAGAGTCACTCTGCATGGAGAAACATTTTATTTCAAAGTTTGCTGTGGGGAATATTTATGCTAAAGAATGGTCAATAAAGTCATTTCAAAGTCAGACTTTCCATCAATGCCAACATCGCACTCCTTCAAAATATGATATAAATATATAATTTGTATTTTTAAATAAGGTTCTAATGATCTTGTTTTGCAAATTTGATGAAGCTGTGAAAGAGAAGTAAAACTCTGCTTTTGTTGAATAGAAGAAAAAAAACAATTACATATTCAGCCGCACTGTCCCTTTAACTTTTTTTTCACAAATTGTTTGTATTTAGAGCAATAGTAAGGGAAATGTTTTGCAATTGGGTTATGTAATTAGTTGCAAAGTTACTCATTTATATTTTCCTTTTCTATTATTTTTCATTAGTATTATTATTATTAGTTCAGGGAATGATGGTAAAATGATATAAGGGATGTTTGACACCAAATTGTAATCAAATATTAATAAAAAATGAATAGAATTATTTTATAACTCTTTGGAGATGTTTAGAAGTATGTTATGTGTGGTGGGCTGATGCTTAGTTTCTTGATGTGTATTCAAGTAGCGCACTACCTGACCAGTATGTCAACTCCTGTATATTGACCCAGATTTAAACTTATATATTATTTATTTGTATAATATCAAATACAGTATTTTTTTTTCTATGCATGTGTCTTAAATTGCCCCATTACAGACTGGGGGTCTCAACTGCTGCTGCTTTCCTACAGAAAATACCTCCCGCTTCAGAGGAAGATATTGCGAAAGAACTGGACAGACACACACACAAGCACCCTCACGCATACACACACAGAAAACGTGAAATGTCGCAAAACTAACTGATCCTGATCAGTTTCCTCTTCCTGTGTGTCAGTAAAGATGGTCAAACACTTGAACAGATGGAAAGATAAAAGCGAAGAAAAAACGCAGAGAAACAGCCCTGACATAAAAAAAGAAAAGAAAAGCAGGAACCGAAATAAAATTAAAAAGGGTCCTTTGACGCAGACACAAGTAAAAAGATGATCTAATGACATGAGTGTAACATGTGTCAGCTTCCTGGTAATTCAGCTTAAGGCGCGTAATGGTGGCGGGGGGGGGGGTGGTTTGTTTTTCCTGTGACTCCAGTCCATGAATTATTTTTTAACTTCTGAATAACTCCCAAACCATCCTATGCGCACAACAGCTTCCGGGGTCAAGAATGGAAGCGGGCAAACAACCCCCAAACAAGAGGTTAAACTACCCCATAACTTCTCTGCCCGAAATCTAAACACTACTCCACACTTTGTATGACGGATGTTCAAAAAGCGGTTTCTTATAGGAAATAATAGAAGAGAAGGAATAAAACATATACACGCACACACACACAAAACCCCAAAATATGTACATTTTATTACAAAATTTGAACAACAACCACTTTTCCAAAGAGGATGGCAGGCAGCCCTTTTGGGAATAAAACCGCTGGAGTTCCCCCTTGAACAATGCACATAAAAAGGGGTCAGTTCCAAGTGCAATGACTCCTTCTGCTTGCGGATGTTTGTTCTCACTTTCCCTGAAGTGTTGTCTCACTGCACCTATTTATGATAACCGCCCGCTCATTGCAGAGAGAAACAATTGCACCATTACTAGAAGAGCTGAATCACGATCACTCCTTCAGTCTAGTGCTTCTTTTTCTCAAGACACTTTTTTCTCTTCTCTGACTATTTACCAAGAAGAAGAAGAAGAGTCACAGCCACCCGTGGATTGGTTAACGCCGCGCGGCGTGGGATGCGAGGCCGGTGGTCGAGAGCGAGGGAAGGCTTGTCAAATGCTACAGAAACTCATGACTGAAAAGAGGAAATGGCAGATAGATAACTTCCTCTATTGACAAAGATCGAGTGGGGGCAAGAATCAACTGTACCAGCGGCAGACTGGATTACGGACAAAGTGCAGTCACCCCGGTGCCATTCGCGGCCTCGATGTGGGGAAACAACCTGTCGACATGGTAAAAACGCGCCACTCGCGGCGCGAGGACGATGGGATACGCTCATAGATTACGCACATCTTCAAATAAATGCGACTCGATCGCAGACAAACAAATCCACCCACTGGTGCAAAATACTGTTCTTTTTCCAAACCATACACTTGCATTGGATGACACATCGGTCTGAGGTAAGAGGTCTGCTTGTTTGTTGCATGAACAAAGTAAGACGCAGGAATAGAGAGTTTCTCAGAATACAAGGTGGTTGCAGGGGTGAGACACCTTCAGTTATTAGGGACATAGAAAGCAGCCTTTCGACTCGGCCTCCCCCGTTCGGTTTCTCTCTTCCCACCTTCCACCCACTGGGCTGGTTTGTAGCAGACTGAAAGAACCATGTATGAAAAGGGGGAATTTAGAAGGGTTCACATGCCCTGATTAAAACATTTCCCGGAACTGTGCATATGCATGTTTCTACATGTGTGCCTTTAATAAAAGTGTGTATGTGTGTGTGTGTGCCTCGTCCGACAGACCACTTAATACCACTTCCCCCTACCCACCAGATCTCACACACACACACACACACACACACACACACACACACACGGTTGTCACTAGTTTAGCAAAGCCAAGGTCACATGATATGTCACACCACCTAGCCCACCACACCCACACACAGAAAAAATCTCTACTGAAATGAAATAGAAGCGCCAACGACTTTAAGTCACATTCGACCCTCTCTATGGTGAGAAGACCTGTCAGTAATCAATGCATCCAGTGTGGTTAGAGATTCTATTAGTAGTCAAATTAAGTCTAACTCCAGCTATAATTATATACACACACACACTCACAAAAAAATGTAAATTATATTCTTGAGAGCAGTTAGAGCATAATTATTATTACAGCGTACAATCTTCTCAGCAAGTATAGTAATTTGAAACGCAATATCAGAAATATGTATTCCTCGTGGTCTAGTTGCAAGTCCTATGACGTCTTATGATCTCTAATCAAGTAGGTTTTTTGTTACATGAATCATAAATATTATTAATATTCCCTGCAATTGCATTTGAACTAGAAGCTGTTTTAACTATCCGGCTTTGCTTTAACCAAAAACATCAGAAAATGTTTGTGTTTTCGGCATCGGAGAAATGGTCCTAGCTGTTACGCCAACATCAAACAACACCTCCATAACTCCTCCACAGCAGAGTTCCATTGTGGTGATTGTATCAAACACTGAAAAACCTATAAACACCATCGGCCCATTTGGAGCACAACGGTGTATTTTTTTGTCATCCTTCCCTCTCGTTCTCTAAAAGCCGATTGCAGCACACCAGCTAGGAGTTGACTTCCAGGTTGCCTATAAAATATTCAAAAGTTTGACCACTTTATTGAGCTCATATTTATTGCAAAGACAATGACGCTTACAAGTATTCTCCTCTTCAGCCACCCCCCCGACAGCAAGGCCACACTCGAGCGTGGTCCTTCGACTATGAAGACAAACCCCTTAAATACCACCAGTGGGACCACTACAGGTCCACGAGTTAGATCCTACCTCAGGTCCATAAACCCAGGAGAAGATTGGTGCCTGACTCCTTCTCCCTCTCGCTCGTCCCCCTCCTCTTCGGTCCTTCGCTTGAAGGTCAGCAGAGGTCATACACCTGAAAGAAAATGCACACAACGTAAACAAATGAACTGAGTCAGGCCTTCATGTAGGAGACATGATGAACCAGCTTTCTTCTCTTGTTGGAAAACCGGTTAGATTTATTTACAGTGCATGCACACAATTATGCACACAATTTAAGGTGGACGGGGGGCAGGGGGGGTAAAAGAGCAGAAAGAAAAAGATGCCTATAGAAACCGACCGCTTCCTACTTTGACTTCTTCAGAAAACAAATTCTCCAACAGTCAGTGAGTCTCTCTCACACACACACACACACACACACACACACAATACTATTACTGCTGCACGGTTATGATTTCCACATAACTCACACAAATATTTTCAAAACGTTGTGGCAACGAGGTGGAGCGCTCCTCTCCAGGGCAGATTCAGACTGAACACACGGCCGTGCAGCTTCACGCGTGGAGACCAGAGATTTCAGCTACAAGACGCACGCCTGCAGAAAGCAGAGCGGGACGGAGGTCTCGTCAGGACAGCCGGGGAGATAAAGCACAGATGTCCAATTATGTTGCAGACAAAGCTCAGGGCAAACAGAGCCGGCATTTAGAATTTATTTAAGAACCGTGATGCCTCCTCCATATGTGGAGTCATCCCATTACGAAAAAAAGCATTAGACGCCCACTCACATCATGGCGCGCACGCACACACACAAGGAAACCAATCTCTGAAACTGGTCTCCTCTTGGTTCGCCAGCTCAGGCCGCATGGACGACGGTGCCCCCCCCCCTTCTGAGGCCCCCCAAAAAGAAGAAGCTCCAACGCTTTGAGAGTAGAGAGCAAGAAGGCATCAACTAGCGTTACCTGCATGCACGGTTGCAGATTCAACCAAACGGAGTGCGGCCCAAGACGGGGAGAAACAAAACCCAGAGACCGGTCGGGCCTGTCGGGCCGGTCTGTCAGAGGGGCGAGCCAGCCGACATATCTGCCTCTGTAATCACCCACGAGCCCACTCGCATGACAGCTCTCCCACACCCTCAGAAACCTCAAGCCAACGCACACGCACACACACACAAACACACACACACATCCTACTGTAACAGTCACGGGATTAGAATAAAACACTGGGTGCGCCACCAGAGGGGGGCGGGGGAGGTGATTAACAGACCCACCGGGAGGGAGATCATTGGGTGCCAGAGGCTAAAGGAACCAACAGATCCACCGCGTGCCCGTGAAGCGGCGCAGAGGAGGCAGGTAACGTGCGTGAGAGCAGGTTGGGTTTTGGATGTCAGCCGGTGTTCTCGGCTATAATTAGCAGACGAGCCTCCAGAAATGTACCCGCCGACCCTGGACACTCTCTCTCTCTCTCTCTCTCACCTGGCCGACAAGAACAAATCACACAGCGGCTGCAGCACCTCCTGCAACAAATAAGAAAAACACACTACCACACCACCTACGTGTCACTTTGTGCATCCCGTTTGTGTAATAAATGGGAATGAACGTCGACGGCGAGTTAGCCTGCCAGTGACGTAGATAGTCCTCCGGTGACCCCGGTCGGGAGGGAGGGGTGGGGGGGGACAGGCGCTATCGAGAGCAAACTGTCACTTCGCCAAATCGCAGACAACGTATAGGATGCGTGTGTGTGTGTGTGTGTGTGTGTGTGTGTGTGTGTTGCGGGATGTGCGTTGTTCGCAGGTGAATCGACGGCGTAGAGGGGAAGCGGTTACCTGAGCGCCGGTGTGTCACCTGCTCGAACTCGTCGCCTCCCACCTGACCGGCCACCACACTTCCTGGATTATCCCGTCCCACCCCGACTAGTTCTTCTTCTTCTTTTTTCAGTCCTCGCGGCTCTTGTCTTCTCTTTTGCGTCGGGGGGGGAGATAGAGAGGGAGGGGAGGGGGGGGTCCTTCCGTCCTCCCGTCCTCGGCTCGACACCTGCGAGTTTTTAATCTCAGATCGTGCGTCAGCGTTTTTTCTTTTTTTTCTCTACTTGATTCGGGGACCTCTCGTCTCTGCGGACCGCCGGCGCTCTGGGCTGCTGTGACATATCTCTCTCCCCCCCCACACACAAACAACCGCCGCCACCATCTCCCGCGCGCTACCTTCGCTGGGCCACTCCGACTCCCAGCTCCTTCTTTCTGAGAACCAGGAAGCGGCTTTGCCCTACTTACACCCAGCCGCGGATTGGCTCTGGCAGGGCTGGAGAGGAGACCCGCCCGGGTGGGTTAGGGCAGATGTGTACGGAGGGAGAAACTAAGGACGAAGCTGGGGGGGGGGGGAGAGGGGTCCCGTCTCCTAAGGAAAAACTAAAAGCTGTTTCTTCCCGCGGATGCAGGAGTGGAGAAGGGGCCAAAGGTTGGAGAACCCGCTCCTCCTCCTCCTCCCCCCCGCCGCCTCCTCCTCCTCCTCCCTCCCTCCCTCGGGCTCCACCGCGCACACGGCGCGCAGTGAAGATAACTGCCCACCTGCCTGTTTTCAATTCACTGTGTACCCCCCCCCCTCCCCCTCCTCTCCCTCGGGCCTATTGCGCTAAATGAAAGGCGCGCAGAGGATGTGCGCATCCCGCGTGAAACAGCGGCCAAAAGGGCAAAAGCCGGGGACTTTCTTCAATGACTTGTAGTGAAACGGTGAATCACAGAGTCGTCCATGGTTTTCTGAGTTGAAGAATACAGATGGTTGAACTATTTTCCAGCGAGAGAAAGGTGACACAGACACTAAACCGCAGCTCTCATTTCCCTTGAGAATAAAAAAAACGCAACTTTGAACGCGTATCTTTCTCCTATTTGAAGTGGTGAGGGTATGGGAATCACCTCGCTTTTAAAAAAATCAGCTCCATGTGTGTGTGTTTTGAACTGAGGGTGCAGGAAGTCTATATATAATTCCCCGCCAGCCCACCTATTACCACCCCCCTAACCTAACCTTAAATCTGTGCTTGTTGTGCTTGTTCTGCGGTTGTGCCACCAGACACAGACGTAAAAATACATGTTCACCACATGTTCCATACAGGCAACGGATTCCTCGTGTTGGGTTTGTAAAACCGCTGGTTTCCAACCTTGGGGTCGAGACCCTGTGGGGGGACGATACAGAAAATAAATGCTGCTGCCGCTGCATTCGAGCCCGAACACATTCTGGGTTATTTGTCTATTTAAACTGTTTTATTGTGAAATTCTGGTTACTTTAGTCTTTTCTAGCCTCTAAAAATGATTCCTATGAGACTTCCTGCTGTGTTGATTATTAAAGTTGTATCGCCATCTAGTGGTCCGTGAGGGTGAGTGGTTTTTGAGATTTTAGGTTTTTGCTTTCATAACTTGCCACCTTTTAGGCTACTAGAGAGACACTTAAAATATACATACAGTGTCCAAAGATTTCTCCTTAATTCAACAAAAGCATTACATAGTCGATGTTCTTCATATATGACCATAAAATTTCAGGAAACAAAAAAAACGTTTCTTAATGGAAGTAATACTTGATCATAATCCTTTTCACTTAGTGTCTTCCAAAGTATGTTCCAGTTGTATTCCTATCTATCTTCTGGAAAGTTTCACTGAGCAGTTGGTTCATATAGCATTAATAGGCTGATTTATATAAGATTTTATTATTTTGCCTTTTCAAATTTTCTGATTGTTGGAGGAAAGAACAGAAAGATCCCCAATTCCCTCTGTAAAAACTTTTCACTTTAATGTATTAACAAAATGAAGAAAATAAATCTTGCTGATTCCTGTATTGCAGGTTCCAGATAACCTTCCTTATCAGAAGTGATTTCTTGCTGATTTTCACAGCAAAGCTTTTTAATATGCTCATTAAGTCAGGGGACGTAACGTTGATGAGGACTGTTGATTGTGGAATTCATGGATACCACTGTAGATGAGTGAGAAAAATATGTCCCCCTGAGTCAACCAAGTAGTCGTACATTAAGAACATTTTTAGTAGTTGTAAAGCGGTTAGTTATCGATGGCAGTTTCATATCATTAAGATTTTTCGATGATAATTAAGGCATCTGGAATGAAAAGAAAAAAGAGAAATAAAGATATAAAGATATAAAGAAATAAACATCCAGATATACACCTTCATCATTACATCAGGGTTGTCAAGAGTATCATCATCATCTTACACACCACCCTCAAGATCATCATTGTGACACCATTATTGGCCTTTATTTGTTTTCGGTTCGAAAGCTGAAGCTGTGGTAAATAAAAAATAAAACATTTGGTCCTTTAATTCATAGCCTAGGCAACATGGTATTAGGGTTTAAGACAGAAATGTCTGGTTGCTACCCACACAAAACATCAAACATCGCTGGAAATTATGCTATAACAGTGTCGCAGGGCGACAGCACAAAGAGCAAAACGAACATTAGGCTGACGGCCGCAAAAGAGCGAGACGCCGGGCAAACCGAGAGGCAGTGAGCAAGTCTGTTAGCTACAAGGGCTGTGAAATCAGACGAAAGACGCAGAGGCTGAGGAGTGAGGAAGCTTACAGCAGAGCGACAGAGAGGTGCGTATTTACAGTTCAGGGTGCCGGATGAGCCTCGGTGCACAGCGAAGCAGTAATTGACTTCCACACACGAAAAAACAGGTAGGTTTAAAAGTTTTGTCTTGTTAAAAAAACTAAACACCACACACCTCAGACCACAAAACTACCAGTGAACTGCTCTTAATTATTCAAATTTATATGAGCATTGACTTTACAGTGATTTGATATTCTTCTTCTTATTAATAATCTGATGAGAAAATATTACACTTTGGTGCAGAATGGGAGGCAAGAGGGAGTTGGAGCTGGACATCCAAGTGTCTGCTTTATTGCCCGCATTTGAAACTGATATCATCCAACGTCCAAATGGTCTTTTCTCAAAATTATTATAATATCGTCAATATCATTTCCTGTCACATTATGAGTGTCTCAAATGTTTTACATGTATTGCATGTATAGAAAATTCTAAGCTATTGCTTGCACCCCATTTACTGTGCATACTGTTTCCACTTCAGCTCCCCTGCTTGCTCCAACAATCACTAACAAAGATATGTATGTATACATTTGGATGTTTTCTCAGACTCCATTGCTTGCGCCAACCACTCAACATACCTACAGAGAGAGTCTCCTTGAGCGACGGCTTGGTTGAGAGTCACATCAACACCTGATGCTCTAAGACAATCACATCCTAGAGTGAATGCAAACAAGATGTACCTGTCCACACAATATCATTAGATATCTAATATGACTCTGACACAACTCTGTAAATCCAGGTGTCCGCTAGTCAGCAGCGGCCACAACATCCTATGAGAATGTCTCACATGCCGAAGGGCAGTTTGTGTCTTTGTCTCTCTGAGTCTTTTCTAGTCAGTGACAGCTGAGGGTCTTTTTTCCCCATCTTTAGGGCAGCTGGTGTTGGCAGGGGTGGCTGCATGTGCGGACAGGGTGGGTGTAGTAGCAGGTGCCTGAGAGGTCTGGGCAGTGGTAGAGGGTGTATTAGTTTTGGGGGGGACGGCAACGGGAGCCGTGCTTGTCGGCGTTTGTTTCTTGGGGCGAGCAGAAGCAGATTGTAAACTGGGGGAGATGGTGGACGAGGAGGAGGCTGTAGGAAGAGACGAGGGGCTAGCGGAGCTTGGGTTCGGGCATAAAGATGTTGAGGGGGAGGGTGTAGTTGGGGTGGGTTTAGTGGAGAAAACAGAGCCAGATGTGGGGGCTTGAGTAAGGACAGGAGGGGCTTGCTTTACGGGATGAACTGTGAACGTTATTTTATTGGTAGAACTAGTGTTGGCTGGTGTAGGGGAAGGAGATGCAGTTTGGGTTGGATTCAGTTTTGGGTTCTGACTCGAGCTTTTGGTTGAACAAGGAACTGAGGGCTGGAGGGGGGTTGGACTCTGGGATTTAGTTAGGGAGGGAGGACCTGAAACGGGGATGGGAGAGGGAGAAGGTGTATGGGTTAGTGCCTGGGTCGGAGTAACAGGTGACCGAGTTTGTGTAGGAGTTTGGGCGGGGGTAGAAGGGCGAGCACGGGTCGTCTGAGTGGGAGTCTGTATTGGAGAAGAGATTGGGGCGGGACTGGGGCCAGACAATGGAGAAGCAGGAGGAGGTGTGTTGGATGCCCTGGCTCGGGGGCTCTGGGGACGTGGTGGGATAGAAGTGATCAAGGAGGAAGGGGGAGAAGAGGAGCTAAAAGATGTCTTGGGCCCACAAGTTAAAATAGGGGTAGAAACCGAAGGTGGAGGCGGTGTGGAGGAGGGAGAGGGAGACGAAGAGCGGGAAGAGGATGCAGAGATTGGTTTGGGACGGGGAGTTGCAGAGAGCGACAGCGGGTTTGTTCCTGGTAAAGGTGGGGCTGAGCAGGGAGGAGGAGGGGAAGAGCGCAAGGGGGTCATTGGTATCAGTTTAGGTCGAGGTGTCTGTGTGAGCACAGTTGAAGGGGTGGGGAGAGGAGTGCGTTGTCTGCTTTTGGAGGGGAGGAAGCTGCAGAAGGGCATGTATGCAGCCGTAGGTGTGGGCACAGTGGCCCGTGTGAAGGGGCAGGGTTGTGTTGACAGATTGTGTGCCAGTGCAGCCTGAATAGAGGCTGCGACCTGTGCTTGTGAATTAAACGGTATGTTTGTCACCAGCTGTACTGGAGCGTTATAGGTCAGCATAACATGCGCAGCCTCCCCCTGAGACAACTGTCCCGGCCAGGAAAAGGAGCCCGCCAGCAAATTGCCACCAGAGGCCCTTCCTGTAGTAGAGGCGGGAGAGGCAACTCTCCGGGCCCAGGAGCGGTGAGGAAGAGTGGGTGAGAGGCGGACAGCAGCCTGGCCTCCTGGGTGAGTCGTCCAAGTGCAGGAAGACCCTGACAGCTGTTTCCACCGTAACGTAACAGAGCTTCTTTTGCCCCCTGCCGGCCCATCAAAAAAGTGTTGCAATCTGACGGGGCACCACGAGCAGTCGGGGGGTTGGCGACCGATACCTTGCGGATGGGCGTCGTTTGTGATCCTCCACCTGGCGATCCAGCAACCATTGACGGATGATCAGCCTGGAGGCGGAGGTTGTAAAGAAGAGTCCTTTCTTGTTGGACAGATGTCGGGACAGAGGAGGAGGGTGTGGATGGCGTTTTGACAATAGGGGGTGATGTTAACCCACCCGGAGGTCCCATGGACGATGAGGAGGAAGGAAATCCTCTTGGGGACAAACCAGCCACCCCTCCCATTGTCATCATCCCAAAGAGAGAGCTCACAGAGGGACGGAGGGTCTGTAACACGGGAGGGCGAGGGGGAGATAAAGGGAAAGAGGTCGAAGGGGAGGGAGAGACAAGAGGGGAGGGCAGGAAGAAAGTACCTGCACATGTTGCATGTTGCTGCTGAAGCTGCTGAAGCTGCTGTTGCTGCTGCTGGTGCATGAGGGCGATTGCTACATTGCTGGTGGCAGCAGCAGCAGTCTGCAAGGGGGCGTGGACAAGCGGCGCCCAGATGACCGGGCGTGGCCGAGGAGACACCGTGCCACTTCTTCCTGCAGCAGCAGCCGCGATGGCATCCTGCATGGCCGACATGCTGTCGTGTTTGACAATCTGCTGCACCAGCATGCTGTCACAGGAGCCCAGAGCCCCGGCACCCGGACCCCCGGAAGCACGGCCTCCACCGCGACCCATACTGCCCCCCAGAGAACCACCCTGCGATGACTTCCGCAGTAGCATGGAGTTCTTCCTGCCTGTAGAGGATAAAATTCAATACATGTAAAATTCCAGAAGACAAAATTGGAAAGAGTGAAATTCTTTAACTTTCTTCACAGAGAACATTCCTTCCTATAGTATAATATTTTTTTTTCAATGATCAGTTCCAACCTTTAAGGTGAGGACAAGGCCCCTAAGAAGTTTAGCAGTACTGAGGTATAAGGTATAAGGTTGTTACAGAATAATAGAGTTGAATGGAAAATAGCAAGTTCGAAACGCAGGAGCCACTCAGACATTCACACTTTACCGATTCGGTCCAATCGGTCCACAGCGACAGTTTCAAAGGCGCGCCTCATCATCGGATGCTCCTCCAGCACCTCGTTGAAGCTGTCCACGCTGAGAGAGTACAGGCGACAGTACGTATCTGCACGGACGCTCGCTGTCCTCCGTCCACGAGTCAACAAACAAATCTCTGAAAAAAGGAGACAGGCAGTGAGAAATCACCTTCATCTTCATGCGCGTTGCACCGTACAACACAACCGGAGCTGTCTAGAAAACATGATCACCTCCAAAGTACGACCCGTCGCTCAGCTTGGTTTCCCTGTTGCCACGCGTCAGCACACCGACTCGCCCATGCTGGATGAAGTACATCTTCCGTCCGACTGTGCCCTCGCGGATGATGAAGTCTGAAGGCTGGAACACTTCAAACCGGAGCTTGATCAGCACCGCAGTCACAAAGTTTGGATCGGCGTTGGCGAACAGCGGCATGTTAGCCACGAGGCTGCGGCAGTTGAAGCTGACTATCTCCTGGAGGAAGATGAATGAAAAGATAACCAGAGGAGTGAAGAACAAGTTTGGCTCTAAGGCGAGAAGATTTGTGGCGCGTAGACGAGTGGGTGTTTGTGAATCCATTACCTCTTTGAGCGGATCGCTGAGTTCCGCCAGGATGTTCTCCTCGTCAAACATTTTCCCCTGGAAGCGGTGCTCATAGTACTCGTGGATCTTTTGCCGAACGTCCGCAGGAAGCTTATGGAATGACATGTACTGCTCCACCTGCTTGTACTGTAACAAACGAGCACAAACACTCGCATGTCAGAGCAACGCAAAGGGCTTTAAAACGATGATTAGTCCACTTGGTCACAACCTTTCTGGAATGGGTTTGCTTTGATGTTCCACGGCTGTTCACTCTATCCACCCTCAATAGATACTCAATTGATTACTTAATAGAGCAGCACATTAAGAATTTAGACACGTGTCAAAACAATTTTCCCTCTTTGCATGTATGAAATAGGATGCAATGCAATGTGTGTACACTAAATTTGGGAAAACAACCATATTGATTCTATATTTTACACATTTTCCAAATAACAATGCAGTCAAACGCATTATATGGAAAAAAGAGTGATTTTGTGATTATTTAATCAAAAAATATTTTAGAGGTAAAAAAAAAATCCATTCAGAATTTCAGAAGAATAACAAATTATGTCAAAATACAACCAGAATCAGAATGTAGAGTAGAAGAGAGTTTTTGAGTATGTTCACCTATAGACAGAAAACTATTCACCAATAATTCCCAATCATCTGAAGGGTGTGATGGTCATTTTTTTATTGAAATTTGATTAAAATAAAATAAAACACATTATGAAAGAAAAGAAACCCAAAGCGTCCTTCATAACAAATGTCATCATCAACCAAAATGGATTGAACAAGGTTTGATGGCTAAACTATAAAAAGAAAAACAGACAGAGGAGCGTCATGCTTTACCTTTTCCTGGTACTGTCGCCGTGAGGAGTCCAGTGATTGGATGAGAGCGGTGGCGTGGCCGATGAACATGGCGTAGCAGGTAGCACCGACGATCATACTGAGCATGGTGAGCCACACGTCGGTCATCCCTTCTGGAGCCTGGGCACCGTACCCGATACACAACATGTGGCTCATGGCTTTGAACAGAGCATAAGAGTACTGCAGGCCCCACGTGTCATTCTGTGAGATGGAAGACGAGTAAGGAGGACTGTTAATTACGCCGGCGCTGCCATATTGTTTTATTGTTATTTTAGTGTGAAAGGAGCTTTTATCTTCTCAGACGAGCTCCGCCACACCACTTCAGAATATACAGCCGACATCAAAACATGTCGCGACAGAGCAATTTAACTGTCAAAACCCAATTGGCTTCAAGCGGAGCGCCTGTAGAACATTTGAAATAATGTAGACAATAAAAAGGCGGTTAACTTTCATTATTAAAAAAATGTCTAAGAGCAGCTATAAGGGGTGTGTGTGCGTGTGTGTGTGTGTGTGTGTGTGTGTGTGTGTGTGTGTGTGCGTGTGTGTGTGTGTGCGTGTGTGTGTGTGTTCCCATCTGTTTTAAGCTGAGTCCAATTATACTAAGATGTTAATAGTCTAAAGGATGAGGGGACTTTCTCTGGGGAAAATCCCAGCATCCGCCTGCTTAGCAACAGTCACCCAGGCAACGCCTAAGACATGATTCAGCTATTCATACAGCTGTGTATCTGCGTGCATTCATGGGCGTCCGCATTCGTACGCCTGCATGAACAGAGAAAGAAATCTCCAGCAGGTCCCCTCGGTCCCCTCAGTCCCCTCAGTCCCCACACCTTCACCTCATCCCTGCTGAGGTTTTTAATTGGAAAGTCTCCTTTGTTTTTGTGATGATTATAATCTTTTTCCAACTGGACATGTAGCTACAATAGCCAATCAACAGTTGAGGAGAAAACAATGTCAAATCTAATAAAGACTCTCACTTTGTGAACACATACACACACTAATAACCCGAAAACCCAACTGCTTTTTGAATGTGTGATTTGCATTTATCTGAAATAGAGTTGAGATAGCGCGTTGCACTTTTCATTCAATCTGTCAGGTTTATTTTTTTGTTCCCTACACAATAGAACCACTGAAACACATCACAAATAACATCACGTACACACACATATGGATGGTTAGAGACTCACCACCATCAAGTTCTTGGAAACCCAGCAGTCAGGAGGGAAGTCCTGTAGCATAGGGACCAAGAACTGGAGACAGCCGTCCCAATGGCAGAGCAGCAGCATCATACCGATCAGATTAACTATTCTCACCATAGCACTGGCAAGATCATAGGTCATATGGAAGATCTGAGGAGGAGAGGATGAAATTAACAAACCAAATGGAAAGAAAGGTGCAAATGAGAGGTGAGGTTGACCTTTTAATTCCCAAATTGTTCAAAAATGCATTTCAATGAGGCTTTTCCTCCAGCACAATACTTAAAAAACGTAATTGATTCTATTCATGTCATATTATTTCTAAAGGCTTCTCATAACTTAGATAATAAATTAGTTTAGAACTACCTCTTCAACACAAATATATCTGTCCCTTTGGCTTTGCTCTTTCTTTCCAGCCTCTGTTTCTCACCTCCTCCCACTGATGGATGTAGCGGATGAGTCTGGACAGGCGGAGCAGGCGTAGCAGGCTCAGGATTTTGGTGAAGCGGACGATGCGCAGCGCCCTGGCCGTCCGGTAAACCTCGGTGTCCAGACTGTCCACCATCAGGAAGATGTAGTCCACGGGGATGGATGACACAAAGTCCACCAGGAACCAATTTTTCAGATACTTCTGTCGGATAGCTCTGAGTCGGAGGAGCACGGAAGAGCAGACATTTCTAATTTGCCGATGAAGCCTTGTGGAAGTGCTTCCAACATTTGGCTGGAACCATGCGATTCTCATCAATATTCAACGGGAATACGACTGGAATGGGGAAAAAATCGCTGCCACCAGCTGCATGTCACCTTTTTGGTACAATTAACAAAGACCCAGCAGGTGGCCAGAAGAGCATATTTAAATGATTGGCAACAGAGCAGCTGAATTAATATTCTCATCCATGCAGATACACATAACCAGGTGCTTGGACAGACCTCGGGTCCAGCAGTATCTCAGTGTTGTCTTCCTTGATGATGCCGGTCCTGAAGTTTAGAACCAAGTCGACCATGAAGAGAGTGTCAGAGACCACGTTGAAGATGATCCAGGAGGGAGTGTTTTCATCTCTAAAGAAAGTGATGCCCACTGGCAGGATGATTAGGTTCCCCATCATCAACATCAGCATCAACAGGTCCCAGTAGAATCTGCACAGAGAAAGAAAGCGTTGAGTATTTCTTTGTTTACTGTTTTTGTTTCTACAGGTTGTATTGAACATAATTTCATGCCGTTCCCCTGATCACAATTGATTTTGAACTGAAGAAAACCATGTGTTTCACTCCCTCTGTGATGAACATAAAGGGGATTCAAAGGGCTACTCCCAAGATACTGTATTGTAATTACATAAAGTCACTGAAGACAGACTCAATAAAGAAGGGTCAAAATTGACGCAGCAGAAAGTGAGATATCCTGACTTTTAGAGTGTAGTAAGGGTCATGCTGCAAGGACACTGGATCAAATCCCATAATGCATCTGGATTGCGTCTTATCCTTGAAAGTACAGATCTCATTTTGTGCTCGGGCCCATGTCGAGAGAAACCCCGATGACATATGAAGGTCATTTTCTGAGACTTAAGAAAAAGAGATAAATGACGAGTAACCTTGGGAGGCTCCATAAATTGGTATGTCATGCTGGAGGGTATAACAGGATGACGTAGCCCTCTCATGGAAATGCTGTTAGTCATTTAAGACTGACAGAAAAGGCAATCCAATCATCTGGAGATGATGCCTTTCATCCTTCTGTCTTTTTTCCCCTAATCCCTTCATCTTTGAACCTAACCATATCAATGACTTGCTCTCTACACACTCGCTCTCCTTCTGGGAGAAAGTAGTCAAGCCCTGTGGCTGATTGCCATTGAGCTCTAATTTAGTAACACAACCTCATGGTGGTGTGACTCTGCTGCTAGACTGATGAAGATTAAGTATGAGTCATCACTCTACTTCTGCCTGACTGTCACCTCCACTGCGAGAAATATCCCTTCACAATCACGCACAATAAAGGCAGGAACTACTTAAAGTGACACAGATGCAGCCGTTCCGTAGTGTAGCTGTTGTGATTGGAGATTTATTCTCCCCGATCTCTAGGACAAGTTTTGGAAACTGATTGAAGGGGACATTTCTGTAAATCATATCACAGTTGTGGTTTATGTCTGTCAGTGCGACTCATGTATGAGGTACCGATTTGGTACTTCTGGTACCAAATCTCTCGTACTTCACTTGACTTACTATTCTACATTGATTTTATTTGCCTAGATAATTCAACTCTTCGAAATACCGGATCTGAGACTGGGAGCATTTCCATTGCCTCACGGCGGTCCTGAACGTGTGAGCAGCTCGTGGCTCAGCGTGACAGTGTAGATGCAAAGCGTTTACCTGGTGGGGAGCTACGTCTTCGCGCCGCCGCTCTCGGCCTGGACGGCATCATCAGCTCTAACGTCCATATGAGAGCAGCGCAGAGCAGCGGCTAACCAGTGGAACACGCTCACATGCGCTAACATGCACTAAAAGCATTTGCGGCAGGCGCCTCTGTTTCTGCTGTTGTCATTGAGATGTAAGATAAAATAAATGAGCGTGGTCAAACAGACGGATCCAAACTGAAAAGGATGTGAAGGCTTGTGATGCCGGCTGAATGCCTGATTAGACGACATTGAGCGTCCTGTGTGGCTTTACGTGCACTCGGGAACTCACAGATAGGAATTGAAAATGCAATCAAAAGGCCCATCAGTATTCCGTCTGGAACATGAGCAGCTGCTAGACGACAACCGACCTGCATCTACCTGCTCATCCCTCGTCAAACAAAACACTAATTCTACTCTAATTGAGGCCAAGTGTCCCACGAGCTACCTCGGATTGGCTCCCTGCACACAGTTGGCCAGATGTCCGTTACGAGCAGGTTTCAGCACATCATCCTTACCAGATGTATAGACAAACAACAGCAAACTGGCTAATACGTAATACATCCCTGATGCTATATGTGTAATACTGCCAAGCCCAACTCAACACATCGGTGGTGAAGGACGAACCATCTTTCTGTTTTCACCGACCGATGTTCTGGTGAATTCATTCAACTGAGTGAAAAAGTGTGTCCAAACCTCTGAATGGTTCTGTGTATTACTGCACATACTTCAGAGGCTCTTGTGCTCAAGGTCAATGCAGGGGCGAAAACAGAGGGGCCTCAGCAGTAATCCGTCTTCTCCTCTCGCTGGCCTGATAAAGTTGCTCTTCAGACAACAGGTACTTAACTGAACAGTCAGATGACTGAATTATGCATAATGCGTACTCAACATGCATAATTGAGAAAGTCATACATAATTGATTCAAGTTCAATTGTGATTCTCCGACGGGTTAATAAGGAATGTTACAATTTTCCGATATCTTGCATGAATATCAGTAAGTGCCAGACGGGCATTTGTCCATCCATCCATTTCTCTGTTCCTCACTGACCTCATTCCCCCTATCTACTGTGAGCAGACTCACAAGCAGAACTTGTGAGTGATCATCAAATTGACAGACAAAACAAAAGGATTTGGTCAACGTGTGTGTGTGTGTGTGTGTGTGTGTGTGTGTGTGTGTGTGTGTGTGTGTGTGTGTTTGATGAAACTAAAGTGGGCCAGGAGCCTTGGGGATCAAGTCATCCATTGTTACTGCAGCCTGTCTGGAGATTATGAAGGCCGTCTCTCCCTCTGCGCTCCACCTGCACATTTACGTGCAGTTTATGGGTGTTTTGTCAGTCTGTGAATAATATATATAAAGATATGTGAGGCTGAATGCAATTTGGCATTTTGGGTTTAAAGCTGGCAGACATTAAAAAAAGTCCCCTCCCATACTTACCTTGATAAAAAAAGAACTCCAGAAAAACAACCAACCAGGTTTTCTTTATCTTCACGAGAGTATCACTCAAGAAAAAAAACTAAAATGAACAGCCTCAGTTGTCAATTTCATCCCAGAAATACTCATTGTATTTTCTCCTAGTACGGAACCACCTGCATGGGATGCTGAGCTGGGTTCATCCACTGTTCACATGATAAAATATGACATGTCACTAGTATGTAAGGCATTTGTTGCTTTGCCCTCATTTCAATGTTCTCGCATTGATGCCTGAACATTTTCTTCTGAAAAGAAATCGGTCTGTAGTGTCTATTGTACTAGTTAAGCAGACCTGCCATAGCTGCATGGTGTCTACACTGGAGGCCTTGTCACATTGCCCTTTCCATAAACACCTCTCCCTGCCTCCATCAAGCCCCTAAGGACTTTAAATACACCTGTTTTCACTCCACATCTAACCTTTCATACAGGCTTTGCTTCAATACAACCTTTCTTACAGATACGAATGTGCTCATTGCATCTTCTTCTATACATATAGTTTCTAACTCATTGCAGGTGTCCTCCTCTTTTCCCCCAGTTAAAATCCGTGTTGTTAGATGTATTTTATTTTATTTATGCGGTTTACCTTATCCCGCCCCCTCGTTTTATTTCTCTGACATTATCCCTTAAGGGGGACTTTGTTTGATCCATGATTCAACCAAAATGACTACAGGTGTCATGTGCTACAAGTCGTTTTTATTACCACTTAGATTAATTTACAAACCAACAACTGCAGCTTGCTGTGGAAAGTGTGTGTGTGTGTGTGTGTGTGTGTGTGTGTGTGTGTGTGTGTGTGTGTGTGTGTGTGTGTGTGTGTGTGTGTGTGTGTGCATACCTGAAGTCACTGTATGGGTGTATGATCCACGACCCCGCCGATTTCAGTCTTTCTTGCTCCAGTGCCACGGCTTTGTGGGAACCAAACATGCGCAGGCTGAACTTGTTGACCCCCGGCTGAAGCATGGGTCCAAATTGTCTCTGGATGAAGGTGCTCTGGTTGGAGGCGCTGTAGTCCTCTCCGTCCAGCCCAAAACCACCCAGTACACACTGACCCATTAAGTCCGGGGTACCTGGAGCAGTGGTGTTACATGTAGTGGTGGTGGTGGCCTCTGGGCCGGTGGCCACCACCATCACTCCGGTGCCGGCAGAGGAGGAGGAGGTCAGGGCGGCGCGAGTGTTGGCGAAGCCCACTGAACGAGGGGGCGGGTGGGATGTGCCGGCGGACGAGGGCGGCGGTGGCGGCAGGGGCACCGGGGTGCCCGCTGCGCGGAAGGGAAGTCCATCCCTGGTGGAGGAACTCAGGATGGAGGGGCGACGGCCGCGTCCACCAGAGGAAATGCTGTCCCCGCCGAAGGAGCCCCTCTCCCCTTCCAAGGATGCCTGGGACAGCCTGTAACCTGGAGAGGGCAGGCTGCCCTTACTGCGCCGCTTTGAGTCCCCTCCATTACGTCTGGAGAGGCTGTCCCCCCCAGATCCACCGGTGCTACTGGGGGTACACGCACCTCCCGCCACCCCATCCATTCCAAGTCAGGGAAGAGGGCGAACCGGTGACCCTTGGAGAAGACTACCAGTTCATGCAGTCAATCTAGATTACACAGGTTGTATAACGCCAATAGTTCAATCCCAATGTTAAATCGAAGAACCTACAGAAAAGTGGTCTCTGTATCTCCAGTCATAGCCCCGGAGCCGGCAACTCACACCTCCGCCCTCTCTCGGCTGATGTGGCCATGCTTACCTCGGTGCCCTTGGAAACGGCTCCATCCACACGTTAAATCGTCCTCCCTGTCAGAGTGACGCCAGCAGCTCCACTTCCCCTTAAAGCGCCCTCTTTGTCCTTACAGATGTTCCCGCGTCTCTCCTCCTGCCTCGTCCTTGAAACGTCTCTCCCCCCACGTGGCACTCCCTCTCTTCGCCTCAGCCTCCTTCAGCGGTCCGACGCCGGTCATCTCGGCACCGGATCCGCGGTGTTTGTATATGGACGTCGGTGTCCCGTCTGCGTTGTTTGTATACGAGCCAAAGCTGCTGAGCCACACCGACAACGCTGCACCTATCGCATTGTGTTGGAGACGCGCGGTGAGGGGAAGAGCGGGGAGCATCCGCGGATGAATGACGAGGACACTTGATCCGCTGTCAGGAGCGATGGGTTGTCAATGGACATAAAAGGACGCGCATTACAGGCACACGCGCAGAGACACTCGAGCTCCAGGGCGCACCGATCCTTTCGGACACGCGCAAAGGAGAACGGGCCAGCGGCATTAAACGAGTCGAATGACCCCGAATCTAGCGCGTGGATTCACTGAATCCGCGGCACGTTGTCATTTGCGGAAAAAAACACTCGTCGTGATGGAAGGCGCGCCGAAATGTTCCATGTGACAGAAGCACTCAGACAGCCAGGGAGACAGTCGGCTCTACAACAGCGCTGTTCGATGAAAGTGATGAATGAATGAACCTGCTCAGGTGTTCAGAGTCTTTTGTTCCCTCAGCCGGTGCCGACGTCCATTCCCACTTCTGCCGACTTTCAATGACAGTGTGCGCGGGGACGCGGCGGCGTCCCTTCCGCCTGTCTGCCACCGAGGAGGAGAGGGGGGATTATGTCAGATGGGGGGGTTATGCTGCTCCGACGCGAAACGATGCATTTAAAAAGCTCCTTTAAAACCCCCAAAAACAACTTGTTGAGCGTTGAAGGTGGCTGCTCCTCCGCTGATGGACTTCTCACTCATGAGGCTCATTAGGTCGAGCTGGCACATCAACAGGGGCGCGCATCGCATGCAAATGACATATTAAATAAATAAATGATTTTTTTTTTAAAAGGTCTGGGTGTAATCGGCCTGTTGCCATGGCATCCGCATCGCCATCATACGTCCCCCTAGGCCGCATGCCCGGCCGCCAGACGCACGCATCCCTCGCAGGTGTAGGTCGCGCGTCATCCTCGCTCCCTCACCAATACGAGTGTGCGATGATGAAACTTTATTTAAACCTCGTGGAGGAACAAACGTTTTGTGACAAGGATGACAGATAGAAATATATGAGGAAAAAGAAATACAAAATTTGAGAATGAAAACTGCAGATCAAACCGCCTACTGTCCATTACTTCTGATGTAAGACATTATCCTCCTTCCCATCAGGGCTAAACACACCACAAATGGTGGCAAAACACACAATTAGCTTTCAGAAAGCTGTATGCTGTTGCTAATCTGTACTTCAGAAGCGAATATTCTAACCTTTACTTCACCGATTTGACAGTTGTATCTCGTTACTTTGTAAATTAATATTAATCTTAAATATTAAAATTAGGATCTTACATAAAGGATCGGACATGAGAAAGCCCCATGCAGGAATAGATATAATTAGTTTAAGAGAACAGAAGACAGACGTGGGCATCTGGGTCATCTCAGAGGGCAAAAGGAAGTAGCTCAATAACATCTCCCGGGACCACTCACGTCGGCCCAACGAATTCAGCCCAATGAGTCACAGAGAGGAGCTCTGGTCAGGAAGGAATACTGCGAAGGCCTCCAATGAATACACACTACAACAAGAGACAATGCAGCTTTTCAAATTAATATTACTGATGAAAACCAAAAAGGGCTCAATTAGTGAAGCTATTCTCAACATAAAATACAAGAACAGTGTTGAACGTAATAATTCAAGTTTTATTTCGAGGGAGTCATTTTTTTCACGACAAACACAAATCCAATATTCATGCGACCAGTTCCAAATGTTTCCCCAACCTGAGTTTAAATAACGGATGACGCTGCGAAATGCTTTTGTTAATCTATTAGTAGTGATTACCATTTAAATCTGCATTATTTGTTTATTTCTATTTCTCAGGTTTTCATCCCGTTCATACGTCAGCATGTCTTTCACATTTAGAATCAAGCAGTTTCGGGCTTTTACGGGACGCTGACTGCCCTCATAATGTTAGTGTGACCGGACCCCGGGATCCAGCCGGTCACCACAATCACCATTTGGCCCGACTTGAAGAATCCTCTCGCTTTCCCTGAGGAGGCGAAAGGAAAGAAACAAAGAGGGTGTGTGAGTAAGACATATAAATGAGCAGGCTTATGGAGCCAATCAGACACACTGACCAATGTCCATGCCGAAATTGACCCTATTATCTACATCATCGGCCCAGACGGGAGCAGGCAGAGGGTGGAAGAGGACGGGAAACACTCCTCTTAACAGCTGAGACTGACGAGCCACCTGAAAGAGAGGAAATACATCCAGGTTGTTAGTTCATAGTTATGCGGCAAATATTTACAAAATGTTCAGCATGTTTTTCAGTTTTCAAGACTCTTCAAGACAACTGACCCAAACTTTATGGTTTGTGACATCCAATAAATATAACCTCCATTTGTGGCATTGCATCACAAGGTATGTGGACATGAGTTATGAGACACTCCGTTCAAATGGATCGCAGATTGTAAATGGTGACAGCAACAGACAATGAGAGCAAATATTGAATAGGGATTTTTCAACAGTAAAGTTGTGTTTCAGGCAAAAATAATGCAATGCTGCTGCCGGGAGGCAGACTATACCTGAGGGCTTCTGGTGATTGCGATGATAGGACAGCGTGGTCGATACCTGGACAGAAGATGTGCCGCCCTGGAGAGACGAGGAGAAAAGGAGGATACCATCAACGAATGCAAAGCAGCATGTACACATCCATGAACAATTAAATGATCATTAATGTCGTTCCAGTTGCCAGAACGCTCCTCGGTATAGAGGAGTAACGTTTCTAAACTCTGCTGAAGGGATGAACTATGGTTGTGATGGAGGAGTCAGACAGGTCCTCCTTCGTATTGATAGAAATGTAAATGTCACTTAAGACACTTTTTAAATGAAGACATCACTTTTTAAGATTGTGTATTAAAAAAAAGTGAGCTTTGGTTGTGGACTGATGTCTTTTTGCAATGTGAGGTGTCGCTCACTGATGGCAAATAGAAATAATGCAGATTTAAGGGACACAAATTGGCCTTGTTCGATACTGATAGCATCACTGTAGACAACTAGACTGGTTTTATCACAGTCTTGATCCAAACTCAAGGTCAGCTTTTGCTTGTCTATCACAGAGCACTATACATACGACATGGCATGGGTGCAGTACCTTTGTGCCAATAGAATACAAATATCAGACGAGTTTGAAATTCATATTGGATCATTGAACAAAAAGCAGGAAGTACTGTGGCGTTTGCGTTTGCACAAAGCCCAACTTTCAGTTGTGTCTCGCTGCAGATTTCCATACACATTCACCAGTAATAAAACCTCCTTTTTACCTAAAGGGAATCATTTGTCTTTGACAAAAAGACATGCTTTCTTGCAGGGCTTGATGAGAAGACATACAAAAAATATAAATCTGCAGCCAGTTAGCTTAGCACAAAGTCTGGAGACGGCTAGCAGGTTTCTCTCCAACGTTCGTTCTTTCACTTTGTCTTTTGTTTGAATAAAAAAAAAATAAAAGAGTCAAACTATAACTAACCATGGAAATATATTTTCTCAACTACACACCTGCCGCTGGTGGTGAGGACTATGATGGCCCCCGCGCAGCATTTGAAGGAAGACTCTACAGCGCCGATGGCTGTGACCTCTGTGGGGTCAGAGGAGAGAGGAGTGAGGCGACGCAACTCCTCAAACAGCTGCTGGTGGAAAATGGCTGCCTCTGCCTCCCTGCAGATCTGAGCGACAGAGAGAGTGGGGGAGACAAAGGGGGGGAGGGAGTGGAGTGTTGAGCGTTATCAGAGGGGAGACTAAATGTCAGATGTAACAGGATGGACATGATGCGCACACACACACACACACACACACACACACACACACACACACACACACACCGAGTGCATCATTGCGACTGCCTGCACAGGAAACAGTCCCTTGGCGGTTTCCCCGGATAACATAACGCAGTCGGCTCCATCCAGCACGGCGTTGGCGACGTCACTGCCCTCCGCTCTGGTCGGCCGTGGATGGGCCACCATGCTCTCAAGCATCTACAAACACATTACAAACAAAACAATAAAAACATTAGTCTTTTTGCTGCAACCAAAATGTCTCCACAAGCCACCGTAAAAAAAAAAAAAAAAAAGGGATTCGCTCAATTACTCCATTAAGAAAAGCCACTTGTAAGTGCAAGATAGGAAATGACGATCTGGCCAACGCGGGGGAGGATAAATTGTATAATGGCTTTGTTGATGGTTGGACACAAGACGTGGAGAAATAAAGAGATTGCTTGGACTGAGAGTGGTGTAAGACTTTGTAGGATCATTATCGACGTGCCAGGGAGTCGGTGTTGTGAGTCAATAAGCAAGGCAGACAGTTGGAAAATGAGATGCACCGTTGCCCCGAGAGACTGCATTTTTACAGTTGCGCCGGATTAGTGATAGTGACGCTTGTGGGCACACGTGTACATTTGCAAACCTGCTTTAACTCTGAGTCAGGAGCTGTAGCATGTCTAAGATAAAGCGCTGTGAGTCAACAGTGCTGCCGGTGTGTGTGTGTGTGTGTAACAGGAGAGCGGTGAGAAAGAGAGGAAACACGCAGGTCCATGAGGATGACATCATTTCGAAGTGTGCGAGTGCATTATTTTAAGTGCAAGGGTAATGTGTACCTTTTAGAGTTCCAACCAAGCTAAGATTAAAACAGCTGACATTTGATTGCACTACACTGTAGTGGTAAGTCTGAGTTTGTTTGTTTGTTTGCATCCTTTTCTGCGTTGGTGTATGTGCTCGTCCCTGACCTGTGTGGCGCAGATGACCGGCTTGCCGGCAGAGTTGCAGCGTCCAATCATCATCTTCTGGGCAATGAAGACTTTCTCCGCTGGGATCTCTATTCCCAGGTCGCCCCTGGCAACCATCACGCCGTCGCTTTCCGCCAGGATCTCTTCAAAGCTGACAGAGATTAGGGGAGGATTGAGCGTTAGAGAAGAGCACAAAGGAACAAGTGAGCAGAGACGAAGAGGCTGGAAAACAATGTTACACTGCTCGCTTCTGTGCATTACTTTTATTATTCAAATGCTGATCAGGTTTTGCAAAAACCATGATTTTCCTTTTGCATTGTGATCGTACGTACATTGTACATCTGGAGGAAAACCAGACAGAATGAAAAAGGAGATTTAAGTGAAAACACAGCTGCAGGAGACTTCACACGCCGATACATAGCATCATTATAGTGCAACAAAATCCTTATGATCCGATCTTTGAGATATTTAAATCACAGCCATGGTTACACGCCGTCATCACCCAGCATGCAGCAGGAGGAGGCGAGAGATGAGTGACAGAGAGGAGCGCTGCAGCCTAAACTGTGTCAGATGTATTAAATGGGAGCCATAACTCTCACAGACAGCCAGACGGATCTCTTATCAAAGCGCAACAGCCAGAGCGGACGTGTCCATCCATCCCTGACAGCCGACGGTCTGCGATTTTAAAACTCACGCCCTCCAGCTACTACACCTCCCTGTGAACCAATGGTTGTGATTCGTAAAAGGGTTTTTCCTTCCTACTCACTTCTTAACCCCTTGCCGGCTCTCCACCTTGCTGATCACTTTGATGCCTCGTCCGTGCGCCCCTAGAGTTCGGCGCACATCTTTGACATCCTGAGCGGAGCGGATGAAGCTGGCGAACACAATGTCGACGCCCTGGGCGACCCCGAACCTCAGGTCAGCCTCGTCCCGCTGGCTGACGGCCTGAAGGCCGATGAGGTCGGAGCCAGGAAGGTTGACGCCTTTACGGCTGCACAGTTGCCC